ACACATAGGTTTAATTGCACTATTGGCTAAATTCTGTTTTCCATATACCATATTCTGTATTACATGTATTTTCTAAAAAGGCACTTGGGCACTTTGAAAATCATTACAGTGATACTCAAAGTGCAACTTATGCACAATGTAATGACAAACTAGTTTTATCATATAAAATCTTTTACCTTTGCACAAACTGGCCTCATATGCTACTTTCCTAATTTGCTTTGTATTATTCACTAGCACAATCACAGTTCCACTTTCTTGGTTTGTAAACCATACCGGAAGATACAAATCTGAACCATTAAATTTAGCTGTAGGGGCGGATGGAAACAGAAACATACACCGCAGATTTGAAAGATGCAAATGTATGGTATAATCTACATCAGAAAATCTAAGTATAAATCCAAAAATTGTGCCTACAATACGATATGAAATTAGTATTGTTTAAAAATATGGATCTTCGATCTTGGGGCTCCAATGACTTCAGAACTGAGAGGAGTAAATGACCAATCAGTCCATCAAGCCTACCCAATGATTAAGATGGCCGGAGCATCACATCCAAATACTTCCTTACTTCTCTCTATTCATCCACCTTTGCCTCCGCCACCTCCGCTCTGACACCCTGCATTCTTACAATCTCCTGAGAGAGGCTAAAGCAGAGATACAATATTTCACCTAAGCTGCTTCTGCTCTGAGAAAAACATCAACACTTACAAACGCAAAAATAAACACGGAAAAAGACCGTGACAAGCAAGACATATAAAGCCATCATCTGAATTCTGGATTTTAATTTTTAATGATGCACAAGAAGTTCCAGGAGTAACAACATTTAGGAAATACTTGGTTGTCTTTTACCAAAGCATACAAAGATAACATGACCATTTGAATTAGGAGCAGGTGCAAGGCCATGAAGCCTTTTGAGCCTGTTCCTCTCTTCAGTAAGGTCATGGCTGATCCTATTATCGTCTCAACTCCACATTCTCATCTTCTCCCGACAACCAATGACTCTCTCATCAGTCAAGATTCTATTTTTGCCTCAAAAGTATTCAATGGCCCTGTGTCTATCGCCTACTGTGGAAGAGCGTTCCAAAAATTCACATTCTGCTGAAAAAATAATTCTCTGCATTGCTACTGTAAATAGAATATCTATTATTTTTAAACCGTCAGTAATCTCAATTGTTGGATGTAACCGATCAGAAAAAGGGGCAAAGTTATTCTGGACCTTTGACACATTTCCAGACATAGATTTAATGAAGTTTCACGACAGTAATAATGACACTCCCCTCAATTCTGTAATTTAACTGTCCAAGCATTCCCTGTTATTCAGAAATACATGTCTGACACCCGTAAGGCCATAAGGTGTAGGAGCAGAAGTAGGCTAATTGGCTCAGTGAGTCCACTCCTCTGTTCAATGATCCCATGGCTGTTCCGATAATCCTCAATTTTCCTGTTATCCCCATAAACCTTGACTCCATTACTTAATGACCGATACTTAATAGGCCTCTGGAGTAAAGAAGCCCACAGACTGACTACTTTCAGAGATAAATAAAACCTCTTAATCTCTATTTTAAATGAGGGATTCCTTATTGAGATTACACCACCTGGTCTTAGACTCTCCCACAAAGGGAAACAACATTTTTCCATTTACCCTGTCAAGCCCCCTAAGAATCTTATATATGTTTCAATAAGGTCTCCTCTCATTCTTCTAAACTTCAGTGAGTGTAAATTCAACCCATTACAAATTCTTTTCATAAGAAAATCCCTGCACACCTGCAATCAACTTAATGAACCTTCTCTGGACTGTCTCCAATGGCAGTAGACATTTCCTTAGATGTGGGCACCAAACATGTTTTTCCTACACCTGATGGCGCATGAAGCAGACAAAGCAATGTTTACATCTTCTCCATATTTAGTTTTCCTGGAACAGGTCGCTGATCCTTTGTGAATCATGAATAGTGAATCACCATGTACCTGTGAGCTTTGTAGGAAGAGAAAGGCTGAAGAAAAGCAACTAGGCAGGTCAGGCTTAATTAATGATATCCTGCACTCACCAGTCAGGATCCTGACACCTACATTTGCACAGGGGTGAAAATACACAGCTCTCTGATAAAGGAAAGTGTATCCAAAGAGCGGGTATAACTGTCAAACTATTGTCACAAATACAACATGTAAAGCTTTAATTAAAACGGAATGCTGTGGGTTCTGTAAAAGCTTCTGAATCATGATTTATCATACTTTCACTTGATAATGAAAGCAACTGGATAATGAAAGTGTGCTTCGGCGACCAAAAGCCAATAATACTTATAGTTCATACATGACATAATATCACAACCACATCAACAGAACAAGGAACATCCACTTATAACAATCATAGGGAGTTCTCTTCAGACTCTGACAAGGGACACTGTTACTGTGCCATAAGACTCTTTCAGGTGAATCTAAATTCCACCAGCTGTCGTGGTGGGATTTGAATCCATGTCCTCCATACATGAGTCCGGCCCTCTATATTACTAATCCAGCGACACCACCACTCTGTCATCATCTCCCTGTGACTTCAGAAAATTCCAATTGTCTTAGAACCAATTAAGCACTTTTGCAACATGATTATTGTGGGGAAATGAAGCAGCCAGTTTGCACACCACAAGGTTTCACAACAGCGATAAAATAATGATCAGAAAATCCGTTTGAGCAATACCGCTTGAAGGCTAGACAACTGGGAGAACTCTCTGCTCTTCCTCGCAGATTTCAGGTCAATAGGAAACCAGAGGAGCCAACAAACATAATTCCTAATTGCAGTAATATTCAGCAGCAACCATAACTCTGAATACAACTCCCCACATATACCTCAGTGCTGCTCTACAGAACAAGCATTTTAGAACGGAAAACATGGCCAACTTTCTGTCAACAACCACATTCAGTACCACTTTAACTTCACTGGCCACCAGAAAGTGAAACTGATGTCGAATTGCTACATTGTTTGCCTATAACCTCTGTATTGGCTGTTCATAATTGCTTCTTTTCTGTTTTTTTTTCCTTGTCCCTCCCCCATTCAGGTTTGATAAAGGCTGCTAACAATTGAAATACCTCTTTTACCTTTCCAAAGGTAAAGCCAAATGCAGCTATTTAGTAGTCTATCATTTCAAATATTACTGGACCAGAAACCCTATGTTCTCTAAACTGCAATTAAAAAACACTTGTATTTATAC